AAAAAAAAAAATCACGTTTTGGAACATTTTAGTGATATTTGCAGTGAACCTTCCATCTGTCAAATAATAACTGTAACGGTGGTGTTATGGAGTCGTTTAGGCGTTCAACTTTAAAACAGCTGATGGCCACGTTTCAGAGCAATTGGCGCTCCTTGATAGGTTTGCCCGGGAGTTTTGGACTCTTGAGAGTTTTGTTTGGATTTGCAAACGACGGTGTTAAATGTGTTGAGGCGCCTTGAACCTGCTGTTTAAAAGTTCCGCGGAGAGCCGAGCTCCAGTGCCTGAGGTGTAAACGCATCAATAAAGTTACGCCGCCTGGTGGTTATTTATGGTCCTACACGAAGGGGGGGGGCTTCTTCCTGCATTGCATTGTGGGAGTCGTGGGCATTTTTCTTTCAGAGACACATTGCACATTTCGGCAGAAGATGGACGCGGGTTTTTTCCGCGTAAGTACATGTCTTCTTTTTGGCTAAAAAAAAATGGAATTTCGAGTTTATTGTTCTCCTTATTGCAGCCTAGGCGTCCCCTCGGCTCGGTTTCCGGAGCCAAAAGCGTGGCTTATCCAGGAGCATTTTTTTTTTCCTTGTGTACTTCATGCGCCATCCCGGAGCAACGACATGCAATGGGAGAATAAAAATGGCGGCTGTATGTGAATTCAACCGGGGATCAAAATCATTCGTTGAAAATGAATTGGAATCTGTATTGTCTCGTGTTGTGTTGGGGGTGCAATTAATAAACGCGCACATCGTTTTTGAGGATGTTCTTTCTGTACTTGTTAATCTTTAAAAAAAAAAAAACCTTCAGAGCCCGTGTAGGGCCTGTGTCGACAAGCAGTCAGCCAGGGTGCAGGGTTCGTTTGAATAGACTATGCCCAGATCCTTCAAACGTTGTGTTCGTGTGGCTGCGGAGAAATGTTGAGTTCAGGAGTTGTTTTTTTTTTTTATTTTTTTTTGTTGGAAAAAAAAAACCCTCAGCGGCCTATAACGGAGAAGACAAAACGCGATCGGGTATTTAAGCGTCTTGACCTGTGCGGCAACGTCTACCGCGTCTTCTGGAGAAAAGACAACTTTCTCTGGCTTCGCCTCGCCGTGCCTGTTCGCTCCTTGGGGACTTAGGTGTTGGGAAGTGACGAGGGAAAGTCACCTTTGAAGTACACGCTCACATGTGGAGGAATATTGCTTGAGAGTTTCCGTCGTGTGATAACCTCGGTTTTTTTTTTAAAAAGCTGCTCTTAACCAAATCTGTCACGCCTCACGATGTGTGCGAAATGCTGACAGACCCAGTGAGTTTGGGGAGCTCAAACTTTTAAAAAAAAATGTAACTGGGCTCGTCCTTCACTAGTCATTGTCTTATACTGTTACCAGCAGTCTGAAGAGCTTTTCAACTTGATGGCCTTATTCAGAGATCCCTCCCGGAGTTTAGCAGATATTCTGGTTTAGTAAATGATATGGCTGCTACGAAGACTTGTAGGTTTCATTGTAACCTTTTGTTGTTTAGATATTCTTTGTAAGCAGTGTTATAGCTAGGGTGTTAATAATAACAACAATTTCTTGCATTAGGAATTTGTATTTTCACATACTCCAGCTTGCTCTCCATGAGACACAGACAGGGATAGAAGCTGGGGGTCATAGTGCAGGGTCAGCCGTTGTACAGCACCCCTGGAGCAGTTGGGGCCTTGCTCAGGGGCCCAGCAGAGTAGGATTCCTCTGCCGGCTGCGGGATTTGAACCGGCAACCTTCCAGCCACAGGCGCAGATCTTATCCTTAGATGAAATTGTTCATGTGAACCTGTGCTGAAACCTAAAACCAGAGTCTGTCTGTATTTTCTTACCAGGGCACCAGTGCGGAGCAAGACAATCGCTTCAGCAACAAGCAGAAGAAACTTTTGAAACAGCTCAAATTTGCAGAATGTCTCGAGAAGAAGGTATGTGAGCATCTTCTAATTAATTGTTGTTTCAAAATATTCTTAGAGACCCAAAGGATCGTCCTTGGTCACCTGGGGTGTCTACTTGCGATAGGCTTGCAGTTATATATTGTTTTGCGGTTCTGATCAGAAAACAAGATTCAGTTTAGGCTGTGGACACAAGGTGTCCTCCAGTGTTTTTGAGTTTATTTTTGATTTTGTGGTAGGGTGACTGTTTTGTAGATGTGTGGCTAAATGTCAGCTTTCTTTTCAGGTGGATATGACCAAGGTGAACTTGGAAGTCATCAAACCATGGATAACTCAAAGAGTGACAGAGATTTTAGGGTTCGAGGACGATGTCGTCATCGAGTTCATTTTCAACCAGCTGGAGGAAAAGGTAACGCCGTCGAAACAGTTTCTTCTTCCTCAGATTCTTGTTTTGTAAAGCAGTGAACTAGTTCTTATTTTTTTGTGCAAGAGGCGGGTGGGTGGGTGTGAGAACTAGAGAAGAGTATTTTTTCTAGTTGAGAATTCACTTTTTATAATATAAATTTACTGCTCTAGGAGGTTTTGTTCTGACTGCTGAGGTGAAAGGAAATGAAGCTATATGTATTTGAAAGAAATGTTGCTGTTATATGTAACAAAGTGCCTTTGACAGCAGTTTTCTAATGATGATGTGATTTATGATTTAAAAGGCCTGAACCAATATGGATGTTATTCCTTGCGTCTGAAGTATAGCACCATCACCTAATTAGGTCACAGCAGAGTGAGTGTCCAATGTCGCTCTGACCCAACTCCCTTGATGATGCAGTGTGTGTTTGGAGGTGAGTTGTGTAAAGTGACCAAAAATTCCAGTGACGAGCACTTGGACAGATCCTTACACTGCTAAACCACCTACATTTACCTGTGGCTAGATATTTATAGATGGTAGCAGTATACCTTTTTAAAACCTGTATGCAGTATGCCTGAATTGTTTCCGGTTTGCTGTGTTCCAGTTATGATGGCTGATGGCGAAGACAGCCATCCTTTTTTTCCTCCTTCACTGTCGGGCATGGTGCATGGTGTAAAAAGAAATACTGCTATATTTATTGGTGAAAGGAAAAATACTACATTGAAAGTGGCCTGACTGCACTTTTGATGTCAGATTATTTAGACCTGCTGACAAGGTCTTTTTAAAAAAAAAAAGTAGCAGTGATATTTATGATTCTTCACGTGTATGCAGACAAACTGATAATGTAGACATTGGTGTTCATTTGCCTAAAGTTGATCTAGCTCCTAGACCCTCTATATCTTGAGTTAATATGCCTTTTGTTTGACCTTTTGACTTTTTGTGTGAAAATAGGCACTGCTTTTTTGGTCCATATTGAGGTATGCTTAAGACTTGTTGATTTGCTTGCCAGGCAGAATAGCTTTTTTAAAAAAAAAGTAAATGCAAACAGTATGTAAAGCCGATTGTTGACATTGGTTCAAAGTGTATTTTTTAAATCAGACGTAGGGTATTTGCCTTTTGTGAATGCTCAATATTACAGAACACTGCCTTGATAGGGTTTGTGCTAAACTCTCTTGTAATTCTCTGTTGCTGAAATTAAAAGCGAAATTTATTTTTATTTTATTTTTTAGAGTGATTTAAAAAAAATTCAATTCTCTTGTGGCTGTGTACTCATTATTGCTTGTTCGTCTTTTGCAATTTAGATAAATGATATAACATTAAGCTCAAGGTGGTTGAGTTGCAGTAGGGAGGCGGAAGCAAGCCAAGGGAACATCTCTCTCTGCAGGAGACTTGGCGAGTCCATTTCCAAGGGTTCCACCTGGGGAGAGAAGACGTCAGGACTGTGTACTTGCTTTGTGGCGTTGATGCGCTTGGCTCTGTGGATCTTGTTGCTTGAACGAGAATGACTTTCAAGAATTTTACTTTGGGGAAAAAAAAAACAACAACAACTCGCTGGACATTGTAGGGAATAGCTGTGAGGCTCTTGGCTACTTAACCCTTTGAAGACAGTATCCCAGATACGTTAGTTTTGTATCCTGTGGATGAATTGCAAAAGTGTAGCTCAGGGTTTACTTGTTGTCATTATTATGATGTTCCATTGCATGCAGGAACATTGTGTTTAGTCGCCCTTGTATTGTCAACACAGCTGAGCAGTAAGCCAGAATGTATGTCAAATGAGTTTCCAAAACGAGATTAGCTTTAAAAAAAGGGGAATTTGGTTATTTTTTTATAAGAGTTAGTGCAATAGAGGTGCTGTAGCACAGTTCTCTAAGTCAACAAAGGGTTAATAGGCCGTATGGACTCTTGACTCCCTGTGAAGGTGAGCAAAATAACAGCTTTTCAGGGTTAGAGTGATATTAGACAGCTAAAATGGGGCTGGCTTTTATTTTATTTTTTTTCCTTGTTATGGGACCATAGGAAAGGCTATGATTAGGAAGAGATAGAAGGAAGAATTAGCCCACTGTACCTCTTTTTTTTTTCTTGTTCAGCAACCTGTTTTTTTTTTTTTCACCTTGTATCTGTTGCAGAATCCGGACAGTAAAATGATGCAGATTAACCTGACTGGGTTCCTGAATGGAAAGAACGCACGGGAATTCATGAAGGATCTGTGGCCCCTGCTTTTGAGTGCCCAAGAGAACATTGCTGGCATACCCTCTGCCTTCCTGGAGCAGAAGAAAGAGGAGATAAAGCAGAGACAGGTGAAGTGCATGTCAGATGCATGGAAACATGTTCAAACCTTTAGTTCTTGCTGGAGGCATCATTTTTTTACAAGTATAAAAGGGCAGCCGAAAAGCTGTAGGGTAAGATGAGCCTTTCCATCCCCTAAATTTCTAACATTATGACTGGACTCTGAAGTTTTGGAGAAAACATACCTTTTAAAATGTAGGCATTCGAAATTTGCGCTGTTTGCGCAGTCTTTGTACAGACCTGGTCCTAATTTTGTCTTGCTGTTGCAGATTGAACAAGAAAAGCTGGCGTCTCTGAAGAAACAGGATGAGGAAAAGGAGAAGAAGGAAAAGGAGGACAAGGAGAACAGAGAAAGGGACAGATCCAAAAGCCCACGAAGGTATGCGGAGCAGTTCACATGGATATGAGTATTTGAATGGGCTTGAATTCTTCCGCTGTGGCGGGGTTATACTTTCCAAGCACTTTAGCCTGGAATTTTATCCCGTTTTTAGGTTTTGGTCCTTAATCATATGCTCTAGTGGCTTTTACATTACTATTAATTTACTCCTGAACAGTTGCAAAAGCCAGTTTTACAGACCCAGAATCCTTTGATTCCAACTGTGTCCCAGAATCCTTTGACTTCCACGTGTGTTGTGTTAAGAGTCTTTGCGCTGAAATGGGGGAAAGGGGAGAGGGCGCTCTTTGCAGGCGTGCTGAAGAGGGTGTTTGATTTGACCGCAGGAGGAAATCGCGGTCCGGCTCCCCCCGGCGGCGCTCCCCGGCGAAGCGCGACCGGAAGCGGAGCCACTCGCGGTCCCCCCGGCGCAGGACGAAGAGCCCCAGCAGCTCGCCGCTGCGGCTGCTCCGGAAGCCGGAGCCGCAGCTACCCGAGCCCGACCAGTCCGAGGCGGTGAAGAAGGACCTGCTTGTACAGGAAGCGTCATCGACGAGGTACTGTCTGACTTCTTGTGTTCCTGCGTTTCCTGCTGTTGGCTGCCGGCGGGCCCCTGGTTTTTCGGAATTGAGCGCTTTAATAGTTTATTTCGGTCGCGCTTTTGGCTCGGTACTCTGTCGGCCTGACTGAGACCGGCCTTCGCTCTTGGCCCTTTTTTAGTGACGTTGTAAAGGATGTCAAGCCGGACTCCGTGGCGGAGACGAAGGAGGCCTCTCCCGAGAAGCCGTCGAAGAAGGAGGAGAAGCCGAAGCCGAAAGAAAAGGACAAGGACGGCCGGCGGGACAGGAACCGGCACCGGTCGCGCTCCCGCTCGAAATCCCGGTCCCGCTCCCGGTCGCACTCCCGCTCCCGGAGGCGGCCCAGATCCCGCTCCAGGTCGGTGGCCTTCAATCCTCTCGCTTGCCGCCTTCTCGCCATTTCATCGCCGGCGCACCTTCCCGACCGGGCTGGTCCTGAAATTGTGCGCTTTTGATCTAATCGCCCCGTGCTCAATCGGTTGATATTTGTTCGTACAGGCTGTCATGCTGTGCTCCTGAAACTGGTGAGACAGTTACACGAGTTGCACTCTGCCCTTCCCCGTGGTGTTCATCCCTTTTGGCATAGATACAGTACGGATGACTTCTTTCTTGATAACGTCAGACTCATTCCTTAAAGCTAAACTGAGTCTGTCTGTCTCTGTTTAGATCCTACTCTCCACGGAGGAGGCCGAGCCCAAGGAGACGCCCCTCGCCTCGGAGGAGGAGCCCTCCCAGACGTCCCCCTCCACCTCCACGTCACAGGAGAAGCAGATCCCCCGTCAGGAGGTGCGTGTGATTTGTCTCGCTTCTGCCTTGGGATGCGCTTGTCTGGGACTTCTCTTACTGTAATCGGGGAAAAATCGAAATCTTTTGAATCTTCAAAACAAGTTTTTTTTCTTTCTTTTGCCGGCCACAAGTTATTTCACAATCAAGCTAAATATTTCTTAGACGTCACAGTTTACAGCGTATTACAGATGAATCCTTCCAGAATTAGTTTCCTGTTCGAGCTTTGTTTTGCCGAACGATACGGGTATTTGTACAGCTTCCCCGGCGGGTCTTGTCTTTCCGTGTGAGACAATGCGAAGAAGAATGTTTTGACGGTCATCGTGTTTTTCGGCTTGGTTGCAGGCGACGCTCTCCCTCCCCCTCGTCTTCCGGGAGCAGCTCGTCGTCCTCGTCGTCGCGCTCGCGGTCCCCGCAAAAGAAGGCCGTGAAGCGCGTCTCCACCACGCCGCCCCGCAAACCCCGCCGCGGTTCCCCGTCGGCCAGCCCGGCGAGGAGGAGGGTCAGGACGCCCCCGACGGCCAGCTCGCCTCCCAAGAGCCGCCGCTCCCCGTCGCCGCTGCAGTCGGGCCGGGCCAGGAAGGGTCGCGGATCCCCCTCCCCTTCCAGAGCCTCAGGTAGCGCAGGGGGACTCGCACGTGCTCCCGATGAGGTGGTCTGCGGCTTCTTTTCTCCTGTCATCCTCCAGACATAGTCATTTCTTTAAATAGCTTGACTGGGGTGACAAGAAGAATCTGTAGGAAAACCGCAGTTCTTTCCTATTTGGTCTCCATATTTGCCTCCAAAATACAAGAGGCTTGTATTTTCTGCTTCCAGACTCGAGGCGTTTTTTTAAGGAACAGGTTATTAAGCGATAAGGTGCACCTTCTCTGTGGGCTTAGAATTGGATAGGTCATCCCTTGTGGCATAAGAACACATGGTGAACGAGGCTCTTGGACTCAATTTCCTCTATTGATGTGGAAAGGTGATATCCTTGCACAGGGACAGAAGAAAGTAAGACGTGTATTGCATTGCAAGAACCACTGGCTGACATCCATGGCTTCTGTTTTTGTTAACTTTGCTTCCCTCTGACCTGTCGAAAATATCCTCAGTTCTTCTCAGGTTAACTTTTAGAAGATCCAATCCTCAGAAACCTCAAAAAGGACTTGTAAAAAATGCACCTTCTGGGGGGGATTAAGTTCACGCCTGTGGTAGAAATCTTTCTCGTTTAGCCCTAGCTGAATTAGGACGTACAGAATTGAATTGGTTTTCTGATGGGTAGAAAAAATTACATTGTGTAGCAGGCAATAGTGTTCAGAGTGCTGATAAATTCCGTGCTTGCTGGAAAAACTACAGTGAAAGTATTTTTAAAATTAATTGCTCTCTTGCCTTTTTTTTAAGCTGGAAAACGTAAACCTGGTACAAAGGTTGAATCGCCATCACCAGCCCCAAAGCCAAGAAGATCAGAGCCTTCGGAATCAGGTTTGTTTGTTTTGTTTTTTTTTTACTGTTGTTGATCACAAATAAATTCAGGTCGTGGGCTTTGTATTAAAATAATTGCTGGTTTCTGCTGATTGTGGCCTGTTCCCCATCGTTTATTTCAGTTTCAGCAGTTCCATGCTAAATTTTTTTGCTTCTCATTGGCTTTAAGTATGAAGTGAAATTCAAACATTCAATCTCTGAAAGCATTGTAGCACTAGTGTGGAATAGATGTGCTCTATGTAAAATAAGATTTATACTGAGTACTGAAGGACATTCCTCTGTTACAGAAGATGATAAAGGTGGGAAGGGGGCTACAGCAGATTCTGTGCAGCAGAGACGTCAGTATCGCAGACAGAATCAGCAGTCTTCATCAGGTTACTTGTTTTTCTTTAAATGTTATTTTCATGCACTAACGTTTTGCAGTAGTACATTGGTAGTGTGCTTGCAGTGTTTGTCCGTTTTTATTTCTTTTACGAACATCTTGTGCTTTTTTTTTAACCCATAATGTCCCATTGGCGGTTTTCTTTTTGGTTTACCGTTGCTTCCCCCCCCCCCCTTTGAATTTGGTCTTGGCAGAGACGGGCTCCTCCTCTTCCTCTGAAGACGAAGGCCCCAAAAAGACGGGGGCGCGGAACGGGGAGATCAAGAGGAGGCGCCCTCGCTCGGCCTCCCGCAGCGCCTCCCCGTCGCCCAGGAGGCGGCACAGGGAGGCGTCTCCGAGGTGAGCGGGGTTGAGGGCTCTGTGCCGTCTTCGTGCGGGGAATGTCCGTTAAAAGAAAACGCGTCTGGGCACGCAGAAGCCTAGTGTCAAGACGTTTGTCCGAGGCTTCGTCCAGCCTTTCTCGCTGGTGCCGAGGACGGTGTGGGGTTTAAGTCTCAAACTCGAAAAGGAACCTCTACCTCCCAACCCCCGCCACCCCCCCACCCCCCCACTGCGGTGTCTTTGTTAAATCTTTAGTGGTGATGGCTGGTTTCTGTTCTTTCTTGCTGCCAGGATGCCGCTTGGAAAGAGGTGGCAGTCACCAGTGGCTAAAAGGTTGGTTAGAATATAGTATGCTGTTTCTCTGATTAGCAGCGGCCTTGCGCGCTAGGCTAGGCTTTCCTCGACGCAAGCCCAGTAAATGACTTGCTTCGCCGCACCTGCATTTGAGTAGCGGTTTACGAAAAGGTGTCTTTAGACTCTGTCCGATTTGCACCCGGGGAAAAAATGTTGCGCTGCGAGATGCGTCGGTGGGTGTCTTTGGTCACTGACCTGTTGAACGATGGGCGATTGCTTTCCAGGCGCAGGAGAAGCCCCTCTCCCCCAGGAAGACGCCACCGATCTCCTTCCCCGCCGAGGCGCCGCAGATCTCCATCCCCTCCACCCAGGCGAAGGCAGGTGTTTCCGGCATTCGTGTTTGTCTGAGAACCTCCATGGGGTCCCCCGTGGATAAGCTTAAGGGCCTGCTGTTTTTGAATTTTTTATATTTGATCCATGTACAAATGTTTGTCATTGTCTCTTATTTCAAAGTCGGCGTTAATTGTGAAATCAGCTGCTCGTGTAGGGAAAAACATAGAGAGATCTTCAGTTGCACTGCAAAAGAACAGTATGTGGATTTGCGAGTACAACAGTTTTTTTTTTACTTCTTGATCACTTGTGTTTTGAGGTTTCTTGCAAGGGTGTAAATATGGCTTTTTATTTTTATGGTAAGGCCACAGAATGCTGTCCGATACTTTGCAAAACATGAACTATTGGTGTCATTTTTCTAGTTATAAGGTGAATCATCTCTATCGTAAAAAAATGTTGCGATAGGTATCAGGGTGTTATTTTTATAGGAGAGGTTTGTTACACCTCACTAACTTGTCAGTTTCCGCTTACGTGCCAGTTCACTGTTCCGTGTGATTGATGCGATTTGTTTTATGGTGCTTTTCCAGGTCCCCGACTCCTCCACCTCGCAGACGCTCCCCCTCTCCCAGGCGGTACTCTCCCCCAATTCAGCGCCGCTACTCTCCGTCTCCGCTCCCACCGAAGCGGAGAGGGTCCGCGTCGCCCCCTCCCCCCAAACGTCGCACGTCTCCTTCCCCGGCCCCCAAACGGAGGCCCTCCAGGTCGCCCCCTCCTAAGCGCAGGAGCTCCCCGCTGCCGAAGAGGCGCACCCCACCTGCCTCTCCCCCCCGACACAGGAGGAGCCCCCCTCCAGCGGGCCGGCCGAACCGAGACGCTCGCTCCCCTCCTGTCCACGGCAAGCGCCTGTCGCCCTCGCCTGCGGGCCGCGGCCGCGCGCTGCGGGGGTCTCCGAGCCCCCCCCCGCGCCGCGTCCCCTCCGGCTCCCCGCCTCCCCCGCCTGTGAGGCGGCAGCAGTCTCCCTCTCCGACTAACAGGCCCATACGGAGGGTGTCTCGAACGCCAGAACCGAAGAAGACAAAGAAGTAATTTTCTCCCGTTGCATAAATGGTTTTGTCCAGTTAGAAAACAGTGTCTTTCAGCTCAAATCGTTTCAGTTATTTTCCTTTAGTCAGGTATGTAGAGAAAAAAGTAAGAGGTTTATTCCCTGCTGAAAAGAGAAGAAAGAAAACAACGTTTCGGCCGTGGAGCCTCCTTCTGTTGACGCACCTTAAGAAGGCTCCACGCCCAAAACGTTGCGTTTTCTTTTTTCTCTTTTCAGCAGGGAATAAACCTTTACTTGTTTCTTTGCGGCCTACACATGTTGATGCAGCTCCCCACCTGAACTACAATATGTAGAGAGCCTTCTTTGTGCAGTAAGGGAGTTTAATGGGGTTGGTTGTCTTGTAGCCTTTGCGATAAGAGGCGTACTTTTGTAAATTACTTGAATACGTGTCCGAGGCTGAGCCTTGCTTATTTCTGAAGGGTGTGGATTTCTGGCTTTGCTTTTCATTGTGCGTCTTTTTCCCTTTTTCTCCAAGGGCATCGCCAAGCCCCCTGCCTGTGAGGAGGATGCCCACCAGATCCGTGTCCCGGTCTCCAGAACCAGCTGCCAAAAAGCGCCCACTAGCTCCCTCTGCTTCCCCTTCTCCGTCTCGGTCAGCCAGCGGGTCCCCTCCCCCAGCGGTTAAAAAAGCCAATAGCGCCTCACCAAGTCCATCTCCTGCAAAGGTACAGGCATCTTTTTTTTGTTTTTTTTTTTCTGTAGTTTCTGTCGTTTAAAAACCCTTTGGATCTGGCAGTGCCTAAAGTACACTGAACATGATAATACACTGAAGTGGATGATTAAGCATTTCAAATGACAGACAAATGCCCCCTCCCCCTTCAGGAAATAGAAATGTGTGGTTTACAGTGAAGTCTTCTACTTTAATTGGTCTGCAAAATACGTTTTCTGACCACTATTGGGGTTAAGTACCTAATTTTATTGAGGCACGTGGGAGATAGTTCATACTCTAACCAAAGCGTTAATTTAATTCAGGTCCACAGCAGAGATTTTACAGGTTCAGTTGGATAGGTAATCTGTGTGGCGCTTTCCCTAAACTCAGTAGATGTGATGCGTCGGACTTATTAAGCCTTACGGATTTTGGGAAAAACCCCGTCTGATTTCTCACCTTGAGGGAGTTCAACACGTCCACTTATTCTCCGTTCGTTTTCTCCAGAACTCTGATCAAGAAGCCAGTGGCAAGAAAAAGAAGAAGAAGAAGGACAAGAAACACAAGAAGGACAAAAAGCACAAGAAGCACAAGAAACACAAGAAGGAGAAGGCAGCCATGGCGGCGGCTGCCGGCCCGGACGCTGCGGTCCCTGAAGCCCATCCCGACTCGGATCCCAAGAAGGTGAGGTGTCTTTGGGAAGAAATGACCGAGAAGGAGGGTGGGATTTTGTACTAAACGAAAACTTGGTCTGGCTATACATGCCCAACTTTAGGAATCGGAAACGGAATAACTTGCTCGGTGCCCGTTTTTTAAATCGGTATGCTGAAAGCCTTTCGTCGTCCTTTGGGCGAAAATGTCTTAAAACGTCATACCGTACATGTTCAGGTGCTTCATTACACTGGTTTGCGTACGCATTTTCAGAATAGGCCCCCCATGGCGCAGAATTCAGCGGCTTGATGTGAAAAATAAAGAATTGGTAGAACAAGTCTCCAAAATGTTCCTTTGGAAACTGGGAAATGACAGAAACGGACCATTTGACTTCAGGTCCTTTGGTCTAGTAGAGTTGGAACACCCTGTCTTTTTAATGTAATCACTACGGTGTTTTTTTAAGGATTCAGACAGTGAAGCAGAAGACAACCTTGATGACTTAGAGAAGCACCTGCGAGAGAAGGCCCTGCGGTCCATGCGGAAGGCTCAGATGTCCCCCTCAGATTCTTGAAGATGCGGAATGCTCTGAATGTCTCGGCATATTTGTTTTTTTAATTTGGTCTTGTTCACATGGTTGAGCTTTAGAACGTACAGTTTGTTGTTTATTCCCCCTTATCTACAGAGTTCTTTTTGTACAGAAAATAGGATGAGGTTTTCATGTAAGAAAAGAGGCCAAAGGTTTACCTGGCACCCCCCCTCTGCTCCTGGTTTTGCTAATCAAACGGAGACTCAAGCCTGTTAATCCACGACCCTTCCTGATCCTCCCCCCATCCTGCTTCAAGATGAAGGGCATTGAAAAATACAGGAGTTGTCCTGGAATTGGCTTTAAGTGCGAAAAATGACACATTGCCCGCTTCCCAGTTAGAGGAACGAATTTAATTCTGCGTGTATGCAGTACAGCATTGAAAATGACCTAAAACCCCTTTTTATTTGCATGGATCAGACAAGGGACAACCCAGCCTTAGTTAAAAGGTGTCTTCTCTGTAAAACTCATTTGAAATATTAAATTGCACTCCTGTAATGCTATACATTTCCAGTTAAGTGCTGCTTTTATTTTTCCTTCATTTATTTTTTGGCTCCTTAATTGTAGTGTTTTTTTAAATTCCATGTCATGATTGTGGATTGCATACTGGGGGGGATGGCGTACGCAAAATGCATTGCCCGGAAACTAAAGGAAAAAACACTGGATTTGCTTTTTATGATTGTTTTGCTAAAGGCTTTAGTCAAAGGAGAATTTTACTTTGTATACTGCCTCTGGTAAAAACCGAATAGCTCAATGATGGATGTTAGGCTTTAGCTGATGTGGTTGTTCCAACATCCACAATTATTTTCAAACCTTTTGCCTGTGGGAGTTCATTGGATCTGTATTTAAATATACTGCTCTTGTCATCCTTTTGAAATTAGTTTTTTTATATCAACATTGTGGTGTGAATGGATTTTTTTTAAAGTTGTCAATGGACTGGTGAAAGTCTCTTGAGGATAATACACAAGTATGATTGATTCTTCAAGCTTGAAACAACCTTTCACTGTGAAGTCATTAAAATGTTTTGTCATAGAACCTTGAAGAACCTAATTCCTTTTTTGTATATCGTAAATTTTAATGGATATGGGAGTTCATATAAACATTCATGGCTAACTTCTACATGCAATAATTGGAGAATAGTTTTTCATGCATTTTACATCCCTGATTTTTTTTTTTGAATTGGAATCTTGCGGTCTTGATTAACAATGCAATTCTAAGAAATTGGCTACATGTGTGGATTGTTTATAAAATCTCTCCCAACAGAGGGCGCATTTTCACATTTGCATATAATATACGATAAACAGGTATAATAAATGGTTATCCCCAGTGAGAGAGTAGTCAAGTTTACTTTATCTTTTTTCATTAAATTTTTTTTATAGCAAATATTTGCAGTAAAATGGATTCAGACATTTTGAGTTTCTCTAATTCTGGGGACAGGGATTTCTTGAGCTCTGCAGTTTAACAGGAATACGGTTTTGTAATAGTGTATGTACCGGGAGCAGGATAAGTAAGCAGGTGGATTAAAAGTGACCAGTGTCGATTTTTAAAAAAATACATTGTTATAAATAAGATCTCTTGATATTTTTGGTAAATGGGCCGCACTGTTCGAGGTCAATAAATGTTTTCGGTGAAAAGTTTTGATTTTGATCTTTTGCATACACCTATATAGCACTTATATATGATAAATTAAATGGAATTGCTATGTGGATTCCCCGAATGAATTACATATTTAGTATTATAGGGATGTTGATTTTTGACCCCGTTTTACAGTGGCATATACCTAAAGCTTTCCTTCATGCATGAGACAGCAGTAGTTATGACCATCATATTCAGGAATGTCATCGGTTTTTAGGACTTCTAACGTGACTTTTCTGTGCCTCTGAATGAATAGTGCATTGTTGCATATTTATGTTTGACCAGAGCAAGCCTGAGTTTTTGCTGTTGAAAAACATCCTGAAGGTAAACATTTTAAAGCTACAATGTGAATCCTAAACACCCAGAGTATTTGTATTTAAGTGTTAAAAGGATGATTATTAAATAGCAGTATGTTTATTCCTTGATTTACAAATCCTCTTGGATTTAGTGTTCAATTTTCAGGTCTTCAAAGCACCCTGTTCCTGTTCCTTTTCCATGTTTATGCCTGTGAACACATGCTGTATTGCTAAAAACCTTAAATCTTGCATGGCTTCTGGTTTATAATACACAAGGGTGGAAATGAATCCTAGTTAAGTTTACCTATTAAAAACAGGAAAAACGTAATCTCTTGGTGGAGATGCAAAAAGCATAATTTGTCAAATTTAGATTTCCACATCGAAAGGAACTAGAGCTACATATGATGTAACTGAAATGGCTTTAACAGTTTTTTTTTTTAATTTTAGCAGAATGGAAAAAGTGGATCTTTAGGGCCATTGTGACACGATGTATTTTTATATGATGTTGGTCAGCATGTTGAAAATGAACCTTTCCTAACAATTACCAACTTTTCAAATGTACAGTGTTTGTTGAAAGTTCAGGAAGAATAAACCTTGATGTTACAAAATTCCAGGTTTTGTATAGCCCTTCTAGATTGATGTATATTCTGTAAAAGCATTAGTCTTGATTTGAAGGAAACTTGATAATTACACTCCACATTACGATTTAAGCTTGTGTCCCTTAACTGGGCACATCGAATTTTGACTCAGAAGAGCAATAGCAACAATAACAGCTTAAAAAGATTTGAAGCACTGAAAGTGACTTGATTGACGACACCAGTCATTGTACTTTGCAAGACAAATTTGAGAAATAGTTCAGGTGGGTAGCTGTGTCAGCATGCGTAGGCTGCAAAGGAACAAGTAATAGGTTTATTCCATGCTGAAAAAAAGAAGGAAGAGAACAACGTTTCGGCCGTGGAGCCTTCTTCAGGTGTCTCCACGGCCGAAACGTTGTTCTCTTTCTTCTTTTTTTCAGCATGGAATAAACCTAAATTTGAGAAATATTTTCCAAGATAATTGTAATTTTCTTTTTGCGGTAGCTGACTACACAGGTTCTAGCATTGTTTTTTCCCCTTTGTGTGGATATATAGATTTCTTCCAAGTCAAGACGTCGAGAACAGACATCTGTACAGTACTTGTCACATTCTTCAAATAAGTGGCATGTTAAAAGGGGGAGATGTCCTCCAAATTACCATTATCTCCTGCGTTGATGTGCTCTAGGCAGCCAGTCAAGGTTATAGATAGCAACTCCAGCGTGTTGGTATTTATGAGCCACCTTTGTTAACCTTTTGGGTTTTGATTATTCGGATGCCAAATGCAGTATGAGAAGCTGTGTGGCCAGGTGCTCTACAGTGAATGTCCCTATATGCATGTACTGCTCCAGCTTCTGTGGCCACAAAATACTCATTTCTGATTTCTCTTGTAATTTTTTTTAACACTGAACACAAATCAGAGATGCATTTTCAGGCGAGGGTCATTTATATTTGCAGCTGGGTGTTAGGGAAGGACTAAGAGTGGCTTGTGATTAAACCAGGGGACTCATCAGAAGGAAATCTGATTTTGACGAATGATCAGTGTGATCTGAAATAATTAATTGCTTGCACTTATCCACTCATCCAGGTGGGGGTACACACTGGTGGTGGTGGAGGGGAGTCCCATTACCTGTAAAGCGCTTTGAGTGGAGGGTCCAGGAAAGCGCTATATAAGTGTAAGCAATTATTATTACTTACATAGCGCTTTTCTGGACACTCCACTCAAAGCGCTTTACAGGTAATGGGGTCTCCCCTCCACCACCACCAGTGTGCAGCCCCACCTGGATGATGCGATGGCAGCCATAGTGCACCAGAACACTCCCCACACACCAGCTCTCAGGGGGGAGGAGAGCAGAGTAATGAGGCCAATTCATAGATTCTGGATTATTAGGAGGCCATGATTGGTAAGAGCCAACGGGAAATTTGGCCAGGACGCCGGGGTTACACCCCTACTCTTTTCGAAAAACGCCCTGGGATTTTTAATTGCCACAGAGTCAGGACCTCGGTTTTACATCTCATCTGAAGGATGGCGCCTGTTTACAGTACAGTGTCCCTGTCACTATACTGGGGCATTAGGATCCACGTAGACTGCAGGGTGAGCTCCCCCTGCTGGCCCCACTAACACCTCTTCCAGCAGCAACCGTAGTTTTTCCCAGGAGGTCTCCCATCCAGGTACAGGAAGTGACCGAGTTAGAATTCGTACGATGCAGCCCTGGCAACGGAGGTGTAACCTTTTAGGTGTAAATTGCAAAAACAATTTTTCTGTGTAGAGAAATAATGTAATACTTTTATTACTTTATATTTAAATCTTTAATTTGTTGAGAAGGGATTGGAGTGGTAAGGAAACATACCCAGGCAATCTCTTGTATAGTAGGTTATTTCTCGTTATGTCTCACATCTGTCACACAAGTCAAGGTTGCTATTACTCTTTGTTGACTGGATGGGTAAAAAATCACCTGTTTTTATTCTCCTCCTGTGTTTGTCTGAAGACCTTGTGTCTGCTTCCTTTCCTGACCTCTCGTTACTGGTCAGAGTGTTCCTGCAGAACACCGATAAACCACAGAGAAGGAAAATTTAAAGTCACAAGCCTGTCTACAAAACAGATTTTTCTGTCTGCACTGAGCTGTTTTTAGTGTCTTTATAGAAAATAAGTTGCCCGATATCCTTTGTTCTAGGGGACTGAGAAAATGCATTTATTAAATCTTTTAGTATCTAGCTGAGATGTACCCTGAAACATTAAAATCCTGGACCATTTGCTCAAAATTTTAGTTATTTTTTTATACTTTATTTTTTTCAGATAAAGTATTACGGCCTGTAAACAGCTCTATTGCTACTGCTGTATGGCATTAAAGAAGCATAGCACAGTACACTTCTTTTAAGGGTGTACTAATACAACTAATTCAGGGTAATTTTGATTTCATATTTTCATTTTTAGCATATTAGACATATCACATCACATCCCAGGCATGTCTTGATCATGGGTATGCTCGTCAATTTGTATGTCGGCACATCAGGAAGTCTGCAGTGAGCTCTGCAGTTTTATCCAGCTAACATGGTTTCTTTGACATTTACATTCTAGCCTAAAATCCTAAGATTAAATATGAATTTGTAGTCTTACTAACAAGGTGAATTCATCCCCCCCCCCCCCCACCCCATTGCTCCAAGAAAACAAAGATGCCCAGGAATTAATTGTTTACACACCTGCCTGAAACCCAAAATTGACTGTTGTTGAAATGAGAGGCAGAAATAGCTGCATAGTGTGGTTTCTGTGAAGATCTGGGAAAATAACAAGGGCTTGGGGACTTCCTCCAGCTGCCTGCCTGCAGTCGAGGGCCTGCTCCCTCTCCTTGTGTTGCATTCCCTGCGCTTCTGTAGCTAACCGATCAATGCCATGATGACTTTGCAGGGAAAAGAAGCAAGGCCCTGATTCGGCAGGGTTGCAAATGCGATTGAATGGAGCTTGAAGCCTCTTCAAAGATGCATAACTCGATTTCACTAGAAGCCAGGGCTTGCACAAAATAAAAAAAAAACATCACTTAACATTTCAAGCGTCACCCCTTGACTTAAGGTAATCTTTTCCCCCTTCCGCAGTATTTTCTCAAGCACTCCTTCGGTGCGACAACTCCAGTGCTTTCCTTCCGAGTTTCAGCCAGTGGGCATCCCAGCCTCCTCCTCCGGTCTCTCCTTTGAGCACTGAAAAACTAGAAATGAAAAAATAAACTGATGCCTGTAAGATGCAATAGTAAAAACGCAACGCACGGTATGAAAAGGATCACCCGTTTTTTAAGTTTGAAGTTTCACATCCACATAAATTTAAAGTCTTAGTTTCACAATTAACAATACTTTTTTTTTTCCTGAGACGAGGCACGATTTAATATGCCCTATTTTGGATTCTGTTGTTAATCACATTACAGTTCTCTTGTAATGCTTTACACTGTGATACTGTGCTTACTTTTAGATGAGATCATCCAGTTTTTTATAGAACAGAAAGCAAAGATTAAATTGCAAACGTCTTATTTTAAACACTAGTTTCACACTTCTATTTTCGTTTTTAATAAGGATTTCCTTTAACCGTGGTAACATTAGAAAGCTGGCTCTATAAGCCCTTGTTATTTCACAAGAGGAAAATTCCCCCTTTTTAATGTCAGTTTGTTACATCAAGTCAGATGCTAGTCATCATGCCAGAGCGTGATGAAAACCACTCTTGCCCTGAGTGAAAAAGATATACTGTAAATATACTGTATACACTCGTAGGTGTGGCGTTTTAAATAAGTGCCGAGGCTTTAACCTTTACAAGTACAGCATTTCCAAGCGATAAGAAAACCAAACAGCAAGATATTATGGGCGGTGAACGGTAAACGGTGTCTTTACTCCAGAATAAACAATAATTTAATGAGCGTAAATTTTTTTTTAAAAAAGAGCAGACATTAGGTCATGCATTTCCAACTCAATTTCCAAAGAGGAAAAAAAAAATTAAACAAAATTAAACAAACAAACCCAGCTTCAGCCTCGCAGATGGTGAGCCAGTCCGGATACTTCTCTTCTGCTAAGATCCCCAAATTCCCAGCGCCATCCCTTCTCCTGCTGGATAGACCCACCCACTTCGTCTGCGCCATGTGTGTGTGTGTGTGACATCACAGCTTGAAATATTCCCGTTGCCTTTTCTCCCCTAGTTGTGTGTGTGTGTGGGGGGGTGTTCTCTTCTGCAACAGTTTTGTAGCGAGGGGTTTCCGGTGAGCCGGGGGGCGCAGTGTTGTACGCGCAGAGGCGAGGCGACTGCAAGAGCATCTTGAGGGGTTTCCAGTCCCGGGCTGTCCGCCGTGCGCTCTCTCCGGCCAGACTCGGCGCGGCTCAGTCTCACCGCAGTTCTTGGCGACGTTATTGGGGTTGGGGGAGGACGAAAATAATAAATAAATAAAATACACCGCTGCTGACCGCTGGGCTGAAAGGAAGGGGGAAAAAAAAGGAGAACGGAGGAAGGGGGGACAGAAAAATAAGTGAGAAGACTGCGTCAAAAAAAAGTAATTTCTGTGGACTGTTGGAAGAGCTTTTGAAACGCGGTCCGCTATGTCGCTGTCGGTACCCCAAAACGGAGTGAAGGGGGATAACGAGCCGGTTATCGAGCTCTTTGTAAAGGTAAGTGAAGCCGGAGTGATGCGGGAAACAAAACTTCTTTGTTTTTGGCTCCCTCCCGTCTTATTCAGTTTTATTCCCTCCCGTTTAAACAGCCGTGCTCTGCAGCAAATAAAACTTTGGGCGTTTGAAGTACGTTTTGAAACGAATAAGAACGTGTAAATACGGCAGATGGACATTTTCCCCCGTATAAACTAGCTGGGTCTGAGTACGAAAAACCGAGATAAAACGACACAATGCTTCTATTCTTTGAAAGTTAGGATTGTTCACAGTAGGGAGGTGGCATTGTGTTGCCTAACCGATACTTCTATTTCATTTACATTTCTGGCGTTTGCGCTGTAGAATAAGGACCGTTAGTTTGCACAGTCCACATTGCACGTTTTTCCTCTGCTTGATCTTGCCAACGCCTAAAGCATGCATAATGGTTTGTGTGTAGAAAGACTGCTAAGAGCAGGTAAAATGTCCAGATTTCTCCAGTAGCACTTGGGACTGCCGTGTATAGGAAGGTTTTCAGCCACAATACATGGGCGTATGCGATGAGTTTTCTGCTTTTTATACGCACGGAGAAAACGGGCAAATAGAGACTGCATTCATAACTGTTGTATTAGCTTAAAAAATGCAACATACCTTTGACGCCTAGGCGCAACAGTCTATACTACTTTTCCAACGCTAAGCTACAGTATGCTGTCTGTATAAATAACGTTATATTTAAGCAACTACTGTATTTGGCAAAACCGTTGTATGGCGTCTGGTATAACAAATGATTAATGATCTCAAACGTAAGCAGTTTTCAACTTTCTTTGGCCTACATACCAAAAACGGAAATATGCTTTACTTAAAAAAAATCCATCTAATTTCTGGTCCAGGGTTTCAGCTGGTGATTGGAGTAGGGTGAAGAAGTTCTTTTGTGTTAGAAAACTTTGAAACCGAGAAAGAATAACAGGATACCCTCCCCCTCTCTCAGAAGAAGGCGATCTTTGCTGGGCACATTCGAGAAAAGGCAAAAACGCCACTTTGCTCCTGGAGGAGCTGAAACTCTGAAACTCCTGGAGTCTGAGCCACGTTTTTTTTTAAAACTGAACCGAGTCTTTTGAAGGGTTCCGACCAGACTCTACAACGAACAAAATATTTTATCGTCGTACGCGGTTATTAGTTTCACATCACATATTTTAACGCTTCTCTGAGAGCTGCGTGCGTCGGATCATTATTTTAACATTTGCTCCCAAATGAAATTGCGCTTTCATCAGAAGTGGGCAGGTTCACGAGTTTGATTGCAGAGGTGTGGAACTTGAGAGACTCGACTCAGCACACCAGCGAGCCACGATAAACCGGTGTCAAGGAAATTGGGGAAAATACTCACCCATCACACCAGTAAATTATTCTCCAGATAACAATTTTCCTTAAAGCGTAGGAGCAGCAGAGCTAAAATTGACTTGTATTTTGTTTGGGATAACTCTGAAAGGTCTGACATATGTTAAGCGAGTGCTTATGCGGTGTTATCATCCTGCATGATATGATGCTGAGGAGATCCCTCTTTACCTCTGAGCAAGAATACCTTTTCCTGTCCGTGGACTTTGCAATTTGTCTCTTCGTTGTGTGTTTGCTGTAAATGTGCAGATTAACAGATTTAAATTGAAGTTCAAGTTCGGGAGCAAGGGCTGAGATACTTTGCACCTCGATAGCACCTGCTGTGCAGTGTCTGATGCCATGACATGCCCCTTTGTGTAATTCAGGGTCGGAGAGAATGTGCCAGGCTATTGCATTTTGAAAATGTTTGTGTGTGTGTGAGAGGGCGGTAACAATGGCTTTTGTCCACTGTCCGTCGTGAAAGCAGTAGCTCAGTCCGAGTGAACGGCTCGCTCGCTCAGTGCAGTGCCCAAGTCATGCCCGACTGTAGCACATAGTGCTAAAAATAGTCTGGTTTGGCTTTATAATGGGTGAATATTGGGCTGGGTTTGGAAGAGTGTGAGGCTGATGCACAGCCCAGCGTGAAACATGAGCGAACCAGAAAGGAGAAGGATCTGGATGGTTTTGAGGATGAATGCACATCCTCAACTGTGAGGTACTGGAGTGCCGGACTCTGCAACCCATTTCCTCATGAGCATTGTGTCTAGATTTCTACTTCATCTCGCTGCCAGCCCCCAAATTAAAGAATGAAAAGGAATCCCTTGTGGAATTGTCTTCTCATTAAAAAATAATAAAAGCCACATTATCTGCACCAATGTGCATGGCTGCTAAAATGAAATTCTTCCTCAAACCGCAGGTATTGCTAATTTTTGAGAAGGGATCGGCAGAAATCTAAGTTCAGTTTTTCTTTTGAATTCTTAAATTAATCTGTATTGTCCTTTTTTTTAAATAGATCTGCCCATGTCGGTTAATTTCTAAACATACACTGTCTGCTGCAGTTGCGTGCGAGGCCTTTGATAAAGTCAAACCTTTCACCCCAGATGACATTCAGGAAAGCATGAACTGCCCCCGTTCCCTCCCCCCATCACCACCCAGGTTTGACTCCACTGTGGTCTTTGTCTGCTGTGTTAAATACTGAGCTAGTCCAGTTTTCTCTTCTTGTCTTTCTGCAGGCATGGCAGATAATGAACGTTCATGTTTGAGTGTATGAAACTGTTCTAAATACTGCTAGGGGACATGGGAATCTTATGGATAGCAGCTGTTTTGCATGTTTTGACATTGTAAAAATATAATATGCAAATTTCCCTGTTGTTTCTTGGTAGAGAATTACACCTAGGCATTGTGCCCATTATTTAACATTAATAAGTGCCAATTACACTTAGCTTTGCTTCCTGTTTGATTCAGACATTTGTCCCAGACCTATGAATTGGGACGCCTTGGACTGGGATAGCCCTTTCAGGAGAGATGTCTTTGTGGATTGTGAAAAGTTGAGGGGACAACGGGTTTGCGTTACTCTCCTATTCTCTTGTGTCACTTGTTAGCATGTACAGATCTATTATTGATGACAGGGGATAGTGTTTTCATTGTATGTCAGAGATGGCTTTAAAAAGAGCAGCCCAAGCCATCGTGACACTTGAAGACTTGTCTTGGTGTTCCGGTAGTCCCACCTGGCAATGGCTGATAGCATTGTGCTTGAATTTGCTCAGGGTGGTTATTGATATCCTCTATGGCATCGTGTTGTGAGTGCGGATAAGTTATTTCAGAGGCTTCTAGCATACTGCTTGCAATTGCTAGTTGTTGGGGAGGGGGGGGCTGTAAGAGATTATAATTTACACTTTTATATAGTGCTTTTCTGGACACTCCACTCAGTGCTTTACAGGTAATGGGGACTCCCCTACACCACCGCAGCCCCCACCTGGATGATGTAATGGAGTAATGCAGATGTATTCGAGAGGTTGTGAATGAGAGAAGGCCATTGGGCTCATCTGGATTTTCTTCCATATTGGTAAAGGAAAAGTTTCTCCATACATGTGTGAAGGAAGTGCAGTTTGGCTGATGATGTAAACTCTTTTACTGTGGAAATGATGACACATGACCATTCATACAGTAGGTGTTGCACCAAGTCCCAAAATAAATTATTACGTCGTTGACCTAATGGCCTATAACACAGGCTTTTCTAGAAAGCTATTTATAGATTCCTTAATCAGATGACCTCATTGGTTAGCTGGAACAAAAGTGAACATGGGGAACTGAGTCATGAAATCATATGAAGTTCCTGGGCTAATAACTCACTCTGTAAATTGTTTTTGAATGTGCCAGGGTTGCTGTGGAAACTGGGGGTGGCGGTTGTTCACATCGGAGGTGGCGCCTCAGGGCGCAGTGAAGGACGGGGTTATAATGAGCGGAATCTTATCCCAGGACAACTGTGGCCTGATCACCAAGGGTGGAACCTGCCTTTATCCCGCGATCATTCATAACCACTGTAAACATGAGCAAATGCAGCGAAAAACGATTAAAGGACCTCCTTGAAAAGACAATGCAAAGGGTGTCCATAGGATTAATGTGAGCTTGTGAGCATTAGAAATTCTTAACCTCCTGGGCCTGAGCTCTGATATGTGCAGCAGTGCTGAGAAGAAACAACACCTGTCGAGGCTGTCTGATAGTGGAGATGGAGCTCCTTGTCGCTGACCACACCCCTCTTCTCGTGCTGAATCATGAGTGACTGCTGCCAGGTTTAGGTAGCTTGTGTTTTTGAAGTATGTTTTAGAACGCCTATATCATTGTCCAAAGTACACAATCCTGTAAATCCTTCGCAAGGATAGTGTAAGTCCCTTGTAAGACTGCAATTAAAAAAAAAAACTGCTTAAGGTTATTTTACACAGCACATCTTTGAGGCCTAATTTTTCAAATAGTGCATCTTGAAAATGTTGTATTTTATCTTGCATCTTCATTTTGTTTTGTTTTTTTGCTTTTTGTAAAACACAGGCGTAATGTGCTGTATCCTGATTCTTTAGTTATTTGTATTTAAACATGATCGCAGAAGAGCAAGACCGCTGAACCATGCCCTCACCTGGGAAAGGGAACCGTCAAGTGCAAGATTTTGCACCCCCTCAGACGGATATTTCTGACCCCCTTGTGTTGCACAGCGATATTGTTTGTGATTACTTTTCCTGTCAGAGGTGACCGAGCTGGAAGTTATTTGCATAGAGACCTGGCCTTACAATGGTATAGTAGAATTGTTGCAAAGCAAGCCCAACCAAAACCATTGAACTGTAATACTCTTTGATAATGTTTCCTAATACAGTGTACTAGGAATTCCATTTGAGAGTACATGTTGGTTCTTTGATAACATTTCCACAGTACAGGAATACACAGTTCCCCAGTGTGTGCACTGTGATATTGTCATCTCATTATTATTCAGTTTTACAGACACATTAGCCAATCTTACCCCGGGGCTCTATGTGGCACTAGTAACGCACCTCTGTGTCAGTGACACACTCATAAGCCAAATGCCTTAAAGCTTTGGGTGTCGGACTCGATCTGTTCTCGGGTTTAGCAGGCTGATATTGACTTCTGGAAATGTCAGTGCCAAAGCC